TTCAAATATACCGCCGCTCCTTGCGCAAGCGCACTGAGAAACCTAAATTAATGAATTAATAAATTCGAATTAACATACAATGAGTCTTTTAATTGACACATTACATGCGAAAAATGTGAAAAATATCCAAATGGGAAAGATTCTAGTATCTTCGTTATTGAAACAAGAAAATATCACCATCGGATAATTGAATTACACTTAAGAAACCCCAAGAAATCTGATTAATGATTAATCTAATTAAGCCCCTAAAATCGCAAACCTCCACAAGCAATCGATAACAATCTCGAATTTCCACGAACAATCCTCCAATCAAAATCGCGTTTTTAATTTTCTCTTTACCCTGTGAATTTTTTTAATCAATGTCAGTCACTAATTTGGAAACTCACTTTGGGTTTGAAAAAATTGATTACCTTAGAAAAGATACAATATATGATGAATAAAAAAAATCATTTTCAACCTTGAAATAAAAAAACGATTTTTTTTAGAAAAAAAGGGATTTTTTTAGCGAAGAGATCGTTCGGCGAGGAAAAAAAATATTTTGCGGATAAAATATAAAAAGGGTCATGTGGTGGGTAAAAAAATTTTTTTTTTAGGGAACCCTGAAAAATAAAAAGTGATTCAGCCCTGGGATTGGTCAAGTGGCTCCTCTCAGTCAAACGCGGCGCGCTCTTCTCCGGTTTCTCAGTTTTCTCGCATCCAACATGGCTGGTCGAGGTGGTTATGAAGATTCAAGGCAAGTATCCATCCAGCAAATTCCAAAATCATCATAAGAAGTCGATAATTGCTGAGTTAAAAGTCACCGACCGATAGATCGCGAAATAAGTTCAAGTGATAATTCCAAAGTTGGGGGCTAACGAGTTTATTCCAGTTTGAAGGTTAAGTTTTTGTGCCAATGGGGTATCATTTTGTGTTCGGCGCAAGGGCACTATGCGGAATATAGAACCGAACACGCGGCTTTATTTTGGAGTAAATAACGTAAAAACATTGACAAATTGGCAATTGGTGGGTGACAGAGGGAGTAGAATTTGGAGACCTGGGGATTTCGTGGCACCGGGTCTTTCCGTTTTGTTTTGACGCGATGGCATTGGCGGGGAGATAGGGTGGTGCACAGTTCCAGCGTCCTTCAGGATGCCCAGCTCCTCCCAGAGGTTCCAGCCCTTCTCCTAGACGTTTTTCTTTCCATTTCTTAAATCTGTGTGAAGATTTTCTCAGCAAACCGGGGTTTTGGTGCATATCTTAGAATTGAGAGGAGATAGCAATGATTTTATCAGTACCTTTCCTGTAGATCTCATCTTTTTCAAACAAAAAAATAGGTATTTACAAAAATTTCGCTATCTGCTGTTTGTATTGACGTATTCACCAAAACACACCCCGAAAAAAATGTACTTTTTATTTGGATGGATTCAGAATTTTTTGGATTCTGCGGTTTCAGGGATTTTTCAGGCGGAGTCGGTCACCGAGGAAGCAGGAAACCTTTGCCCACTGAACCCCCGTACACCGCATACGTTGGAAATTTGCCACATGGAGTGGTGCAGAGGGACATTGACATGATTTTTTCCAACCTGAGCGTTAAAAATGTGAGATTGGTGAAAGATCGAGAAACCGACAGGTAATTTTCCTTCTACGCATCAATTTTTCCTTAACCAATATATTTTCCATCAGTCTTCCTCATGAACCCATTCATCAATCGATCGTTTAATAATTCTTCATCGGTAAATGATTTCAGGTTTAAGGGCTTCTGCTATGTAGAATTCGCCACAGTGGCAGATCTGGAGAATGCTCTGCAGATGAACGGTGGAATATTCGTGGAGCAGCAAGAGATTAAAATAGACATTGCGGAGGGAAAGAGAGACAACAGAGGTGGATTTGACAGGAGAGCTCGCGCACCCGGTGGAGGTGGACCCGGATCTGCTGGAGGTTTTGGTAGCTCTTCTATGTACCCGAATAAGCGTTATGCATGGCATAACGTTTCGTGTTCAGTGTGTGTTAGAATTCGTCTATTCC